AACGTAAAAGGAGTACAAGAACAACATTAATTTATAATTTTAAACATAAAATTTAGCCATTTACCTCTTATCTCTGAGAAGTAACAACTTTGACGTTTCGTTGAAACAAATGAATGCAACTAAACACACCCATAGCAACGCCATTCATGACAGACATGATTTAACTTATCATTTATCTTTTTGTGGGAAATCTTAAACACATTTGCTTTTTCGAATTTCGATCACATTTTTCATGCTAATACTCCTCCGTGCGCCACCGGACACCATTGAAAAATGTTTCAAATCCGAATTTTTTTTTTAAATTTTTTGGATTTTTTTTTTAAATTTTTAATTAACCCTTAAGTACTAACACCCCGTCTCACAGACGCAACGGACTACCTGGACATATGACATCTCCCCTCCTCTCCGTTTCTAATTATCATCCAACTATGTAATTTCAATACGCATCAAAACAAGTTAAAGGCCGGCAGGACAATTTGCGAAAGTGTGTAGTTTTCAAAATATTTTAGTTTAAACTGTCGATGCCGTCTGACAGACGGAGTGTGAGCGTTAACGTAAGTTTTTTTTACGTTTCTACTTTGTGGAATTAATCAAGCACCTAGTAGCTTAAAACACGTGAAGTATGGCGAGCAAAATTACAAGGATACTCTTCTAAAGTGGTTTGAAGAGATTGGCAGCGATAATAGCAAAATAGTGACGTAGAATCCGAATGTGGCTAAAATTTTGCTATAGACAGCGATCATAATTCTGAATTCGAATTAGAAGGTAAAAAACGGTTTTTAACTAATATCTGAAGGTATATAGCTGTGTATGTTTTGTTATAGATGATGAAAATATGGATGTGAACGACTAACATCGACGAAAATGAAGAGAACAATTTGTTTGGAATGAGCAAAAAACTGTGTAGGGAATAAGCCCATCTTTAGGCATTGTCATTTTTTTTATTCTTTATATTTTCTTTTGCTTTTTTGTGCTTAATAGATAGGTTTTTATATGCTAAATATAATAATAAATATATTTTTTCGATATGAATCGATAAGAATCAAAGATATGTCAACAATCCAAAACTAGTACTTTTATTTCAAAAATATAAAACATATTTGCATAATATAAGCATTAGATATTTTTTTCCTGTAGTTTTAATGCTAATGATTCACTCCACTTACACAAAATCTGTTTAGACACAAACAAAATATGAATTTTTTAATGCGTCTCTCAGACGGTCTGTTAGTATAAGCGCGACTATTTCAATATGTTAGTACTTAAGGGTTAAAAAACATAATTTCTTGATAATATGGCAACATAGGTATTAGATCTGGGAGCACGGCAGTGTCCCCGCCAAGTCGAGCACAGCCGTACCATCCTTTTCTCGAAGCTATTAGCGGCACTTTTTTTACCCTGTAACTTCGTTGTGGATAAAGCAAGAATTTTCACTACACTTAAGACGTACTATAGCTGGCTAGGTTACCAAAATATCTAGTAATTATTAAATTTACAAGAAAGAAAATCCAGAAAAGATCCAGTGGTTCTCAAAATTTTAGCAAAAAATATATTTTTTTTGAAATTTTCAAAGTAAAATAACTCCATTATATTACTTTGAGAAAAAGATAAAGAGAAAATATGTTTCTTTTATCGAGATCTACCACCCCTTAAAATACTTTATTTGTGGGACACCCTGTTTAATAAAAAAAACTGTTATGAAAATTATCATAGACCGGAAGCTATCCGCCATACTCCGGATTTTAATATTCTAAGCACGCCTTGCCGAGTCACAGGCCGAGTTGTGATTGAATGTGTCTATACTGGGCGAGAAAAAAATATAGTAATAAAAAAAGTTTGTAAAATTTAAAAAAAGGAAAGAATCAAAGAAATAATTACAAGAAAAATATATGTGATATAGGTATGACTTCTATTATAACAATACTCCTACGAAATTAAAAAATGTAGGTCAATATTTAAAGATTGTTGACTTTGCGTATGAATGAATATATCAGAGAAGATGTTAAAACCTAGAACATGCCTCTAGAATAAGAATTAGATTTATTGCCGAAGCTGAAAATGTAGGTACGTTTATGAAAGATGCCTTGTGGGCATTATTTTTAGATACCGGAAATATTGAGTAATATAAAACATTTCGATTTGAATTTATTTGTTCTTGCTATTCTAAATATAAAGGTTGTTTTATGGTACAGTAAACTATAGTTGTGCAAGTTGGCGGTTTATACGTAAAATTAATGTTTTTTGTAGTAATATCCAGAACTCTTTGAACTGAACGTAAAATCTGTGTACCTATACAGGGTGTCCCAGGCTGAGCGTGCATTAGAAGGTTCTAGAGAACCACAATATCTAGATCGGAGATTTTTTGCACATCATTGTTTTACAACGAGATCTATCGATTAAAAATATTTTCAATATGGCGGCACTTCCGGAAATACCGGAAGTTGACAGGAACTGTTAAATGGGTGCCCCCATTTTTATGAATTTTGATATTAAACACTCTACATCTAACATTAACCGTTTTTGAGAAAATAAAAATTAAAATTTTTGGACGAAAAAAACTACCTGTCAAAAAAAGTTGTATAGCCTAAAAGTCAAACTTAGTGATTGCCACAGCCACTGTGATATAAAGAGAACATTTGTGGCTATCTATTTAAAAAATTAAATAGTTCAAATGTCATATAATAATGGCGGTAGCTGTCATGGAATTGAGTGATTAAAGAATTATCATAAATCATTTTTTTCAAATGGAAACCCACTTTTTTTATTTCACTAATGCAACGGTTTTTCAATTCGTTACTTTTTAACTATACATGTTACTATACCTAAAATAAATAGTTTTTAAGTTATTTAAGATTTAGTTTGAAAACGTATTTTTTTCTTGATTTTATCTAGCTTCCTTTGACATTAAGTGTCAAACGGTCAGATAATTTATTTCCATCTGTCAGAAAACAAATTATTTGAATGTCCTATAGTATAAATACTGCCTGCCTTAAGAATTTAAAAAGTGTATTTATAAAAATATATCTCGTATTTTCGCTCTTTAGCAATATCTAATAGTTGAGATTATTAATAATATTCCGTAAAATCGAAAGAAAAAACAGCGCAAAGTTGGCTCGAAAATGATGCTGCTTTTTGAACAAAGCGCCACAATATGACATGGCCAGATCTATTGTTTTATCTATTCTATCACTTGACGTTTAAACTCATAGGCTACTGGTTAAAATCAAGAAAAATATACGCTTTTAAACTAATTCTAAATAACTTTAGAACGATTTATTTTAGGTATAGGAACATGTATAGTTAAAAAGTAACGAATTAAAAAGCCTTTTCACTAGCGAAATAAAAAAAGTGGGTTTCCATTTGAAAAAAATGATTTGTGATAATTTTTTAATCGCTCAATTCTATGACAGTTGCGGCCATTATTATCTGATATTCAAACAATTTAATTTTTAAAATAGATAGCCACACAAATTTTAAATATTTTTTTCTCAAAAACGGTCAATGTTAGATATAGAGTGTTTAATATCAAAATTTATAAAATTTTACAGAGAATTTAAATACATAATAAAAATGGGGGCACCCATTTAAAATAAGAAAGTTAAGCTGTCAACTTCCGGTGTTTCCGGAAGTGCCGTCATATTGAAAATATTTTTATTCGATAGATCTCGTTGTAAAACTATGATGTGCAAAAAATCTCCGAGATAGATGTTGTAGTTCTCTAGAAACTTCTAATGCACGCTCAGCCTGTGACACCCTGTATATAAAAATAGGCCAAGATGTACCGTATGATTGAAAAAAAAACCGGCTTAAAGTGGTCAGAATCAGTCACAAATTAAGATTATGATTATGGATAATTAGTATTATTTATGGATAAATAAATATACTATTAGTATATACAGTATGTCCCCGGATTGTCTTTTACAAGAGGAGAATTAAGATTAATTAATCAAAGACTTATTGACATTTTGAGAAAAGTGCATTCTTTATAAAAAAAATTGCTTGTTCTAAAACGGTTAATCCCGTTTATAATTTTTCGTTTATACTTTAAATTTCCATACCGTTTTAGAGAAAATATAGTTGAATGTTTTTGTCTAAGTTTTAAAAATCAAGACGCGTTTCTATTGGTAATGTTGGTAATATAATTTTGTTTTCATTGTTTGATAGTTGATAGAATTTGTTATTATTGATTATACATTGTTGTTATTATAACTACATATTTTCTGTTTTTTTTTTGAAATGTTAAAGAAGCACAAAATTTATTTACTTCAATGCTATACAGAAAGGGTGATAACAGTTATCGGAAAATGTAATACTTTAACAACAGCAAAAAATATGATACGTTAATCAAAAGTATTAATAATCATCAATCAATGAATGAAATCGAAATTATATTATCATAGAAACGCCCTTCGATTTTTATTAAAATATTTAACAATATTTTCATGTTTTTATTAATTTTTTTAAAGGGGTATGGAAATTTGGAAAAGTATAAACTTAATAAACATCAGAAATTTACAGTCTCGTACACAGTCCTTATGCATGTGGGAGTCAATATTAAAATTTCGGCTTAAAATAAATCACAAAAATTTCTAATACAGATATACAGACATGAGTATTTTAGTTTATGGAGTTCAACCGCCATTCTTTTTGTACGCCACTGGTCAATAAATTATATTTAGCCAAAATATGTTTTTATTAACTTTTCTATAACTTACTACATCTAAAATTAAATTTTAATAAATTGTTGTTTCAAACATTAAGGTACGTTTAAACCGACTGCGCCGCCATATACTTTTGTGCGCGCTAAAAAAATACACTTCAAAAGTACATGTTAAAAAATTGCTTTGCTTTGCGCGGCGCAGTCGGTGTGAACGCACCTTTACAACAAACGTAAATGTAAAGAATTTTATGCTGTTAAAAAGAAATAATTCTTAATAGTAGTTTAACAAAAAATAAAAGTGTTTAAATATTTATTATTATTTTTTCCTTCAGTTGACTTTATGTAGTTCTTTAGTGAATATGTGTTGAATGGTAAATGGAATGGTAAAAATAATTATTTAATAAAATTTTATAAAATATTCTGGGAATTTTGGGTTAGAGAGTCAAATACAATATACCTACTGAACTAATGGATAATAAAAACTACGCCAGTTTATTATGAAATAAGTAAGGTAGGTACCTCGTTTTTATCCGATCTATAGTAGGAAATTGTTTAATTGCCCTATAAACCCGACTATTAGGTTGGCCCCCTACCACCCTTAAAATTGTTTAGTCTTATTTCGCATTCTGAATCGTTGACATCGTTATTTCTTCTATTTATTCTTCCAGTAAACGGCGCATAAAATGAAGATGGAGGTGAAATCGTGTGAAATAATGAAGGATGTTTTAGAAACATACAAAAATATCAAAACAACCCGTCCCTACTGTTCAAAGGAGAAGTGGTACGCTCTGCTTGGAATGGAAATTAACAAGAAATATAACATTTGGCTGAGCAAAAATGACATCTACACAATGCACGTGTTAGAATACGAAGAACAGGAGATGAAAAGAAGAAACAAGAAGCCAGTCCTCGTTAAAAGACACATAGCAAATGAATTTTTGCGGGCCAGACAACCTTTACCTTTAGAAAGGAAGCGTACATTTATCAAGGAGGAAAATACCAGAGATTCCAGAAAAAGTGTATTTGATAGACTGTACCAGCAAAGACCTAAACCGGATGAAACTAAAGCCAAAGTGGTTAAAGAGCGTTCGAAGAAGAAAGTGACATTTTTAACGGATAAGTATTATTCGCCAAACAAAACACCAACCGAGTTCTACGAACCGTTCTGCAAGAAGATTTGCAAGCGCCGAGGAAGTTTGAGCCCTAAAATGGATTCGACAGTTTTCGAAAGATTGTATTCGGAGCGCAAGCAACTGAACAGTAAAAAAATGACAGACTCAGAGAAGAGGGAATTATATATGGAGTGCCAACGTGAAGAAATACGAAGAGCTCAAGCCGCTTGGGCTAGCATGCGTCAATCAATCCTAGAAGGTAAAGACATAGATCAGCAGGAATTTGCGTCGTCAAGTGAGAGTGATTTTAAAAGTTCCCGGGCATTTAGATCACGTAAAAGTGCTCCTAACAATTCGCGGGCATTTAGATCAAGTGAGAGCGGTCCTAGCAACATGCGGGTGTTTATGTCATCAAGTGATATCGTTCCTACATATTCGCGGGCATTTATTTCGGCAAGTGAGAGCGTTTCTAACTACCCGCCGACATTTACGACATCAACTAATAAGGCTCTTAACAAATCGCGAACATTTAGATCAAGTGAGAGTGTTCCTAACAATTCGAGGTTATTTAGATCAAGTGAGAGCAGTCCTAGCACCTCGCGGGCCCTTAGCCCTTCAGGTGAGAGCGTTCCCAAACATTTTCAGGCATTTACGTCAAGAGAGAGCCTGTCAAATTACAGGCTGGTATATACTTCGTCAAGTGAGAGCATTCCTAACAGTGAGAAGGCTTCAAACAACTCTCAGCTATTTCGGCCAGGTGGCAGCATTCCTAACGCCTCACGGGCATCGTCGTCAACCGACACAGCTCCTGACAGCTCGATGTTATCTTCAACCGAAAGCGTTCCTATCAGCACTCAACCATTTACATGCTCAACCGAGAGTGTTCCTAGCAGCACTCATTCCTGCAAAGATAGCGGAGTGGATAACTTGGACGACTTTGAACCACCACGTCAAGTAATTTATCCTCAAAGACACTTTGTTCCCACCCCGGAGGAAATGAAAGAGTTGTCTGAGATGGTAAAATTGCTCAGTATTAAGATCAAGGAAAATATAGCTAAGAACGCAGCTGCTGAGGGGGCCGCAAAGTCCTCTTAGATTTATATTTTTACTATTTAATTTTGATTTTTTTTATTGTATAATTTATATTGTTATCAATAGATAATATAACTGATTTCCATAACTGCTACAATAATAATTGCAAACATTTGTATCTTTTTATTATTATTAATTGTAGGTATAATATTTTTAGTGTTAGTGGACTTTCTATTTTGTCTATTTTAATTAATATAAATTTTATTGTGTGTGTGTAATTTTATATATGTATGTATTAGTGCGATTGTTTTGATTTTAATTGTTAAGGCACATTATACTTTAAAAAAAAATTATGCTCATTAATTCTAATTTTATTGTAAATTTAGAAATTTATAGGTTAGTGCGCCTGTCTTGATTGTTATTATTAAGGAAAATTATACATTTTTATCCAACAAAAAGGATGCTACTTTAGTATACTTGTATGTTTAATCATTATTTGACTGTATCGGTAGTAAATATCGAAAAGATTTTTTTTAGAAATGATAGAATATCATTTAATTAATTATAATTTTGATGTTTATAATACGTTTATATTATGTCCAAGATTTTTTGTCGACATAGTTTAATTTGTATTTAGAAATATTTATAAAAATAAATAAAGTTTATAAACTAAATACATGTTTGTTTTATTTTAGTAAAATCATATTCCGGAATAAAATTTTATAATTTTTTATCTCTATTTTAATTATTATGTTAGAATCCTATATAGTTAAATAAAAGTACATCATCCCTTATAAAGATTCTTAAATTTAATATAATATAACAAATACCGTATGATCGAGAAAAAAAACGGCATTCAGTTGGCTTTGAAATGATGAGTGATGACATTCCCCATATAATTTTACTTATAAAATGACAACGATCGTTATTTCATAGTCATCGCTGACGCCGACATAATAACTAACAAACTAAATAAAAAATCAAAATTTGTTAATGATCATCCATTAAAAACCAAATATTAATTAGTTAACCATTTATACATACAATAAAAAAGTATACAGGTTGTTAACTGGACAGTTACTTATAGGGGAACAGAATGGCAACACTGCCTATTAGAACGCATGCACTTATAGGGTTTTCCGACTCGTCCCGTCGCGTTGTCTATCGACGAGCGGGCCGAGGTTGCCATATTTCAACCATAAAGGTCTTGCCGCGTTTAATAAACAAATTAACAACCTGTATACTTAATATATAAACCAGGATCTAACTGTAATAAAATTTACTTCACCTTCCAGAGATATAGAAAAATCAAAGAGAATAATGTTTCATATTTTTTTTTAAATATATAATATACACAGGGTAAGTCTTAAATAAGTGCAAATATTTTTTGGGGTGGTATATTTCGACTCGAGAAAAACGTCTATGAGGTTTTTTTCGTGATTCTTTTTTTCAAAAAATTCAGTGGTTCTTAAAATTTAAGCGAAAAATCAATTTTTTTTTAAAGTTTTTAATATAAAGTACCTATCTCGGTTATTTTGGACTTATTTGAAAAACGGTAAAAAGAAAATATTGTTTCTTTTATCAAGATCTACTAGCTCTAAAACATTTGCACTTATTTAAGACTCACCCTGTATTACAAAATATCAATAATACCAATAGAATCTGTTTTTGAAAATTTTATAAAACGTTTGAAAATATTAATTTTAATAAATTTTAGCTTAGGTAATTTGGTTTTTAATTAATTGTACTGGTCAGGTAGTTTTTTCTAACATCCTACATTTTTTTATATCAGTTGTTCAGTACTATTATCAATATATTTGGGACACTGTGTGCATATATTTAGATGTAACCTATTTTTGACATACCAAGATAAAAGAGTAAATACAGATGTATGTAACTAGGAAAGGTTATAAACTAGAAAAATGCTTCACAGGTTTTAGGAACGTTAATTTTGTCAACACTTTGTTAATGGATATAAATTATACATGAATTTGTTTCTGTAATATTTTTATGTCCATAAATTAAATTTTATACATTCCAGATATTTTTTCTTGTTTCAATAAGGAAGTTTTTTTAGATCTAGACCCAATAGTCGACTCAATGGAAGATTTATTGTAGATAAACTAAATATCGATGATTCAAAATACTTAGTTACTAGTTACTCTTGTTTCGGATAACTATTCAAATTCGAAATTGACGTCTTTCAAAATGTGTTTTATATACTTTACTAGCTATTGTATTTTTAATAGAATAATTAATTATACAAAATATTTACAGTCAGTTCCTTAATAAGTTATTTTTATTTACGCTTACAAGAAAATCGCATCAGTGTTAAAGTTCTAGTTTTTACTTAATCTATTTTTATTTAATTCTTCGAAATTATTTATTTTGTGCTTTATACCGTTATACAGGGTGTCCCAGAAATAAGTGCAAGTATTTAACTGGTAGTATATTTTGGCCTCAGAAACCCGCCTATGAGGTATTTTTTGCGAAAAAAAAATTTGAAGATTTGGGATTTTGAAAAAAAATTGGATTTTTTTAGTTTAAAGTTAAAAAACATAATTTCTTGATAATATGGCAACATAGGTAGTAGCTTAAATTTACCTGAAAGAAAATCCAGAAAGATCCAGTGGTTCTCAAAATTTTAGCAAAAAATCATTTTTTTTTTTGGACATTTTCAAAGTAAAATAACTCGGTTATTTTGGACTTACATATTTGAAAAACGATAAAGAGAAGATATGTTTCTTTTATCGAGATCCAGATCCATTTGAAGAAATTATGTTTTTAACTTAAAACTAAAGAAAATTTCAAATTTTTTTTTAAAAAATTCCAAATTTTTCCCTTTTTTTTGCAAAAAATACCTCATAGGCGTGTTTCTGAGGCCGCAATATACTACCAGTTAAAATACTTGCACTTATTTCTGGGATACCCTGTATATCGAGGTGCTTGATATCAAGGTGAGAATTTGATAGCATTCTCTCTCAAAATTTTAGCAAACAATCATTTTTTTGGAAATTTTCAAAGTAAAATAACTCGGTTATTTTGGACTTATTTGAAGAAATTATGTTTTTTAACTTAAAACTAAAAAAATGTTCAACATTTTTTTAAAAAAATTCAAAATTTTCACTTTTTTTTCGCAAAAATACCTCATAGGCGTGTTTCTGAGGCCGCAATACACTACCAGTTAAAATACTTGCACTTATTTCTGGGACACCCTGTATATCGAGGTGTTTGATATCAAGGTGAGAATTTGATAGCATTCTTGCTGTCAGTATTAGTACATTTATCTTAGTGTGTATGCTATTATGAGGCCGTACATGCCTGTAATAGAGGCCCATAAATAATACTTCCAAGTACTAAATAATATATTTTAACTTAACAACGTTCCAGAATCATACACTATTACAGTTTTTTTACTCGCCCACACAAATCCGTACCAGTCTTACAAAATATTTTTGGTGCACTTCGTTTTTAAGATTCGGTATATTATTTTTTACATTTATTTTAATTTTAAATGCTATTCGTATATTCTACCGTATAATCGACGGTAGCCAAAAACGGCGTCAAAGACGGCTGAGAAAGATAGTCGATGATAATTTTGGTGAGGTCAATCTCTAGACGTCATTTGCTAATAATTGACATAAAACTTTTCAAAATTAACACTAATTATAGGAAGACTAAAAAGGAAAGAACGTTTCCAGACACCACAAGTCTGTTTTCAAAAAAATGTTTCTTCTTGTATTTTAAACTACACCATTTAAAAATCATTTTTACTCAATATAAAAATAAATTAGAACTCGCTTAATTCCAATTGGCAGTAAGCAGTAAAATAGAGAAGAATACGGGTCAATTAATAACGTATAGAGCTTGACCTCGCCAATTATCGTCGACTGTCATCTTTGACGCTGCTTTTTTTCTTCCTACATTGACATAAAACATTTAAGTTGAGTGACAAAAAGACCAAAAACAAACACAAAAACCTATAGGGAAAAAATAAACAACAAGAAAATTAGGTAATTATGTACATCACACTATCACACTCGGATTAGAGCATAGACTTAAAATAAAATATAGACTGAGCATCTCATTCATAAATAGCTGGAAGATGCGGTCAGACAATGTCTTGTTATTGTTGTGTTATCGTTTTAGGCTCTAACGAGTGCGACACGAGCGATAGATAGGTTGTCTCCGTCGTAACGGTCGTTCCCTGACGACTCTGACGAGGAATGCAACACTGTCTTTCGTTCCTCAGTACACCTGAACTCTCCGTACCATAGCCGGGTAATTTTTTTTATTTTAATGAAGCTATAATTCAATTAAAAATATATCGTATTTAACTTTTTTATATTTTATTAAGATTTAAGAGAGGTTTTTTAAATAAAAGTTTAGAAAAAAAAACGTCCAAAAGCGATAAAAATAATAAAATACATGTTATAGAAAAAAATTTAATAATCGAAATTACCTATTTAATTTTTGAAATTAATTATTAATTTTAGTCAAACATTTACAACCCTAATATTTATCCAAACAGGATCTATTCTATAGATATAATCGAATCGGCGACATGGAAAGAGAAAAACTTCATGACTGTTGACATTTTTTTTTCTGGTAAGTGATGTCTTATTATGTAAATTAGAAAAACAGAGATCTGTTTCATTAAAGCAAGCTTTTAGGAAGTGGATAAAATGAAAACTACATTTATTTAACCCGGTACTGTCTTTATTATACCGGCTGCGTCCCAAAAGTGGCTCACCCCCATAATTTTTTTATTTTTCTAATAGAAAAACAAGATTTGGTATGTTAGTATATGACATAAATTAGGATTGATTGACGCATTCAATTGTTTTTGGTCACTTCCTGTTTCACCGGAAATGACTATAACTTCTGATTTTTAAATGGCACCCTAGGTATATCTCTATCTCTACTTTATTCGATAATTAATACGATTTGTGCATCTTTTAACCGGCCTAGATCTTTTAACCGGCCTAGACAAGACATGAAAAGCATTAGACGATCAAAACTATTTTTCCAATGCTCCTTGATTAAAACTTAGTGTTTTTAACACCGCCGTGGCACCCTGGATTGAAATTTATAATACGATTTGTTTTAAAGCGAATGTCAAAAGTTGACATATTATGTCATTCTATTCAGAGTGTCATTTTCTAAAGTAGCAATATACCGAGGGTGCCATTTAAAAATCGAAAGTTTTAGTCATTTCCGGTGAAACAGGAAATGACCGAAAACAATTGAATGCGTCAGTCAATCCTAATTTATGTCATATACTAACATACAAATCTGTGTTTTTTTATCTGAAAAATAATAGAAAGTTAAAGGGGTGACTTTTGAGACGCACCCGGTATATTAAAAAATATTCTTTCATAATGTAATATCATTTTAAAATTCTTGTATGTTATTTTAGATTTTGAAGATAATTTTAGGATAAACTGGAATATATTTTTAATAAAAACATGATTAATTTTTTAACCGATGCCCAATATAATTTATCTTGTATAATAACAGGGTTATAATTATGATTTTGTTACAAAAACTTTTATATAAATGATTATGTAATAGAAAAAATTCAGATTTT